CCTCGGCACGTTCGAGGCCTCCGTCGCGCCCTCCTTTGTCGCCATCACCCAGATGTGGTGGCGCCGTCGCGAGCAGACCCTGCGCATCAGCTACTGGTACGCCATGAACGGCTTCACCAACATGGTATGTCTGATCCTCCCCTTCAATACAACGGCAACCGTCTAACACAACCCCAGTTCGGCAGTCTCATCACCTACGGCCTCGGCCACATCTCCTCCAAGCTCAAGGAGTACCAAATCATCTTCCTCTTCTTCGGTGTCATCACCGTCGCCTTCTCCGTCCTCATGTTCTTCTACATGCCCGACTCGCCTGTTGAGGCAAAGTTCCTCAACGACCACGACAAGGTCATCGCCGTCGAGCGCCTGCGCATGAACCAGCAGGGCGTCATGTCCCGCGAATGGCGATGGGACCATCTCTGGGAGAGTTTGCGCGACCCAAAGACGTGGATCTGGTTCGCCCTCGTCTTTTCCATCTCGTTAGTCTCACTGTCTCCTCACTTCGCCCCCTCACCAACTAACAAACTACAGCATCCCCTCCGGCGGCATCTCCACTTTCGGACCCCTCATCGTCAAGTCCTTCGGCTTCGACTCCTTCCAGACCATCCTCTTCAACATCCCCTTCGGCGCCGTCCAGCTCGTCTCCACCGTCGGCGGCTCCTGGATCGCCACAAAGATCCACAAAAAGGGCCCCGTCATCGCCGGCCTCTGTGTGCCCCCCATCGTCGGCTGCGTCATGCTCATGGTCCTCCCCAACTCCGCCAGCAAGCGCGCCGCCCGCCTCGTCGGTTACTACCTCATCTCCGTCTACCCCGGCATCACGCCCCTCATCTACTCGTGGTCCGCCGCCAACACCGCGGGCGATACCAAGCGCAAGTGCACCTCGGCCGCCCTCTTCGTCGGCCAGTCCGTCGGCAACGTCGTCGGGCCTCTGTTGTATAAGCCCTCCGAGGCGCCGCAGTACGCGCGCGGCCTGAGGTCGAACTTGGCGTTGTACTGTCTGATCATCGTCATGGTCGGCGCCACGAGCGCGTACCTCGCGTTCTTGAACAAGTCGCACAGCAAGCGCCGCGTGGCGATGGGCAAGAGCGCCGTCATCATCGACACGAGTCTGTTCTCGGCGGCCGAGGCGGAGCGGATGCAGGCCGCGGGGCAGTTGACAGGCACTGGAGACGGGCAGGAAATGGCTGCGGCTGGGGACGAGGGCACCACAGCTGGGGATATTGGTGCGAGGGCGTTTGAGAATCTGACTGATTTGCAAAATGAGGAGTTTGTCTTTGTTTTCTAGGTAGGCTGTGGAAGGATAAGATAGATTCTTGTGAGAATACAACATTTGCGTTGGATCGCAACATTGGAATGATGCTTTTTGAGAAGTTCATATTTAACGAGTTGTGACTGTGGCATCCCAGGTGCTCTTACATTGCTTAGGTAAGACAACCAAAAGAAGGGTTGCCTTGGCACACAGGACGAGTGGGACTAAGAGGTATTGTCGCCCCCAACGATTCTTCGAGCTATTGATGTTCTAATCTTGAACTCTGAAATCGCGAGTTGCTTAGGCCTCCATAGCATTGGATATAAAAGATGGATACGTGCGCAATCGCTCCTTGAAGTCTTGTGAGAGATCAGGGCTGTTGTTGGGCTGTTTTGGAGTTTAGGTCAACTTGGTCTTGCACCGATTCCTGATGATTTTATGCCTAGATGCAGACGTTGACCTATTCTGCAAGGTTGATTGAGTATAGATTTGCTGCTGGAAGGGTCGCATCTATAATGAGTATGTTTAGCTGGTAGATCGAGGGGATTTGGTGCGCCGGGGTGGTGGTGGACGTTGGGTTGTATCTGGTCACGGTTCCATTCAAGGTGTTGTCCGCGCAGATTTGTATCTGTCGCGCGGTACCTTGTGATACCTATTGAGGGAAATCAAAGAACGGATGCTGGCGTCGCGGGGGCCCGATTGACCTCAACATGAAGATTGAATGTTTCTTTGGTGCAAGAAAGGCCTTTTGATGAGAGCATCCTACTCTCGTCATGTCGCGGTACTGATGTTATGATGCATCGTGAAAAGCTGGACAGGGCAAATTGGAACTGTTGTAGCCAATGTTGGAAACTTTTCTTTTGAGGGATTGTATGCGATCCAATGAAATTAAGGTGCTCGCTCTTTTGGTCTTCGTTAAGCAACAGGGAAGACACATGGGAAGGAGAGGATGATTGCTGTGGGCCCATCGCTTTCCCACGTGTCTGCTCATGCAAAACAACAGGTAATTGAGCTGTTATTGATTGCTGCCTTTGCGCTGCTACTTCTATGTTTAGAAATGGCAGTCCGAAGGTGATTGCCCCCCGCCCGCGGATGATTTCGTGAGCGTGATCGCAATACAGCAAGCAGAAAGGCAATATTCAGACAAACCACACAGCCGACGCGCTTGTGGGTACACCAGGGAGACGGATCAACTGCTCACCCTTAATAAGGGTTAAAGCTACCATGACCGAGACGACTATGTCATTTGGCTGCAGAGTGGGTGTTTGACAAAGTCCTTGATAGTCCCTCATAGAACTTAAAGTTGCTGAATACTCAAATATCAAACTGGGCAGCAAGCTTCATTCTTTCAGACTGAGTTGGTCACGAGATGAGTTATGCGGTTGATTGCCCAAGGAAAATCGAGGTTCTGTTGAAAGAGTCTTATGACATTCTTGTCCCCCGCCATTGATACCAATCTCTGTCTCATGCTAATCCATCCGCACAGTACGAAGTAAATCAAATGTAGCGATGCCGCCATGTATTTTAGCCCAGCAGTGCGTTTGCATCGCTTCCACCGTGTAAATCAAACAGACAACATTCTCAGAGCTGTAAAAATTGGTTTTCACCTCCACGAGACTGATTTGAGCGGTTACCAGAACTTTCGGGTCCACGTAAACGCCAATGTCCAGAAAGGTAAGCCGGACAGGTTACATCCACACAGGAAAACTTTAATCAGCCCGCAGTTTGGTAACGTGGTCCTCAACCGAGAACGTCAGAAGCGTCTTGAGCGATTGCTTTTGCATGCAAAGTGTGGGCAGCCAGTCTCATAAATGAAATCTCGAGTTATAACGTGTCAAACTTGCGATAACACCAGGGAGGCACAAGCATGGTTTGATTCAACACAGCTGAGCGGGTTGTTGAACATGCGAGAAGGGCAGTTTGAAGACAGGCCAGGGAATACATTTCGCTGCAATGTTCTCTATTCTACGTCATTCACGGGAAAAACAGACAAGCAAACCCCAACATGCCGTGGCTGCAGCGTCTGCAGCGGCAAAAAAGCCATGGTTTTGCACATACGGCCAGTTTTCGGGACGCCACCGCATCGAGCGCGAGAACACTGCGCAATCTGGCTCCAAAAAGGGAGGTCAGACGAGCCCGCCTCGTCAAGCCTGCAGACCTTTCTGGGCCCCATCACTGCAAATGATTCCGCAAGGGCGGGCCACCATCATCAGATTCTCCCACATGTCACCGCGCATCCACTTACGGGTTGCGACCTAGTTAACGTTTGCAAAGGGTGACATGACTCACTCCTCGGGACCAAAAAACAAGACACATGTAGCTAGGATGGAGACGCGCCCGGAGTTGCCCTCCCTGTGTCTGGGGCTTCAGGAGGCGCTCCAGGCTCGGAGTTCTGGACGGAATTAGCGCGCAAAATTAATGGAAAGACACAAGAAGAGATTCTTACATTATCGGCGTTGCCGAGTATTCTATCGTGAGAATCGAGATCGAAAGCAAATTGGTTGAGGGCCGCGACGACTTTTTATTTCTACCTTGGCTGTTAACGAGATTTGTGACACTGTGACTGACTTTCCAGCGCAAGACAAAAGAAACATCAACAAAAAAAGGGGGAAAGCACTCCTGGTGAAAATTGAAAAGAGATTTCTCCCGCAGTAATGTCGTCCAGATTTGTGATTCCAAATTCACCCTTGCAAAGTTGTCGCCGAAGATCCAGAAGGGGCGGACCGTCCGATCGACTGGCTGACAATTTCGCATCCAGTTCCTGGCTGACCGTCTTTCCCAAAGATAGGCCGCATGCTTTCACCTTGGCGGCATAAATACAGCCTGATCTGCGGTGCTTCACAGCCCAACTTTCTCCCCCACCCGTTGCTCACAAAGTCCAGTCGTCGTCCGAGTCCGAACTTTCGTCCCACCTGTCGAGCCACTCGTCGAAACTATCTCTTCTTGGCGGAGGATTCTCGTCAGGACGCAGGACGTCCTCCCGCAGACAGTCGGCCCAACTGGGGAGAGGCGGCACGGTCTCCCAGCTAAGCGGGTCGTGCGCGAACCAGTCCTCGTTCCACTCCTGCTCGCCGCGGCCGCGGCGCTCCTCGACGATCCGCTCCACGTCCCACGGCAAGCCCACGTCGAAGTTGCAACGCACGACCGACTTCTTCTCCGCAACGTCTCTCATGGCCCACGGGAACCCTTCGTAGATGTATCCATGGTCGGACTCGGCGGGTCTGTAGTGGGAGGACCATCGCCGTGGGGCATGCCGTGGTGCTCCAGGGCCAACGCCTCCATAATCCACGTGGCTACGTTTCGAGGGACCTGGTTTGACCTCAGCTTTGGGTCTGGTACCCATTCCGGATCGACCCTAGAGTCGGGGTCTCCGGATAACCAATCTGGGCGAAAGACGTTACCCCACAAGCTGCATCTCCGTTCAATCCGTAGCAGAGGGTTCTCCTTGCAGAACGGAATGAGGCCTTGGACATGGCATGCCGGTTGCGATACGGCTTCTCGGTCCTCGTTCAGAATTATGTTACTTAGATGCGCCCGGTTGTGATATGGTAAGAAATCCAGGAAATAGATAGCAGACGCGGCGGCGGAGAACCTATATTTTGAGCGGTCATCTGACCTTGGAAGATGGATTTCGAAGTCTTCATCATCGGGTGAAGGAACTGGCCACCCGTTGTACGACATGATTTGCGCAATATCGTCGTCCGTGGGGATAATCCAGGGCTCAATGGAGCAAGCAGCAAGGCCGTGATAATCAGGCACATACCCTCCGACCATCCGATTCCTGGATGGCGAAGTCCTCTCTCATTGCCTCGTTGAATTGATCGACATAGTAGCGACACGCAAGCCGGAGGGCGAGTCTAACAAATTCCCGGTATAGCGAAGGCGCCTGGCCATAATTCGAATCCGGAGGCGCCACGAGGTCCGTGTTCGGGTTTCCGCCCCTCAAATGCTCCACGACAGGCATGAAAACCGGGTAGGCGTTTTTGAGTGCATCGTACACTGGGCCTTGGAGGCATCTGCCAAGGTTTCTCATCATGTTGAATATGTTGCAGTCCACGCCCTCGCTCCTGAAAGCTTGGAGTCTTTCACCGCGCTGGCGGAACTCATCAGAATAGAAGGTCCAGAAAGCCACCGTGTTGACGCGCAAGGCTAACCCGCCGTGAAGCATTTCTTTCGCAACAGCCCGGCAGGTGATAACGAGAGCCATTTCGATGGGCTTTCCATCGGCTTGCGTAAGCCTGCACTTGGCCACACCCCGGAGCTTGCCCGTGAAAAGCGCCTCAGCATCGCAGATATACCCGCCATCGACGACCAAATAGGCGCGATAGATCATTTGTCGCAATTCCAAAGGGAGTTGCAGGAGGTTGAAACGACAATCCATCTTGAGGTAAGGCCAGCTGTGATAAAGGCGTGCATGAGTGGTGTTTCTGGGGGGAAAGACGAGACAGAAGCTTGGATGAAAGCGGGATGGCGGAGTGGGCAGGGGCAGGGTATTTATGCCAAAATCAAGTTCAGCCACATAGGTCACCAGCCAGCAAGGTTCCCACTGACACTGACCACCGCCACAGCATACAAGCGCCACAGAATCAGCTCCTTCACCACCACCATCGCCACGGCCATTCCCACCGCTCCCTTTCTGTCGTCAGATAAGCATCGCGCTAACAAACGCGTCACATACGAAGCCAAAAGATTGATGTGAAGTATCACATTTATAGCCGAGGTACAATATACAGCAAGGTACAGATATGGAAAAGGACCAAGCAACCCTAATAGATATAACCCAAGGTGTGAACACAGAAGCACTATACTCAGTACTGGAAGACACAGAGGTCTCGAGAGAGACGAAGACGAGGTAAACAAGGTACGAATAACTTTTCCTCTGCCTGGACGTCAGTCAACATCACACCCAAGGGAGAGAACAGGGACCAGGACCTACCATGGCAGCCTCGGCCACCAAGGTTACAGGAACCTTGCCTTATATAAGGAGAGCAGCAGTGAGGTAAGTAGCCAGTACTCCATCCATCAATCAACACGATGGCAAACCAACAACTTGACAACTTCAACAACTAGAAAATAATTAGACACTGTCGCATTCAAGTAGACGAAATGTGCACTTACCAACTTCGACCCAGAGGGCGCCGTGTATGCCAACCCTCCAGCGGCTGCTGAAGGTATGCGAAGGCTACGGTTGGGAGGAGTGCAAGGGTTCCTTGCAGGCACCACTAGGCTCAGCACCAGGGATACCATCGCTGTGAGAAATCAGTATCAGCTACATTAAAAGATACAATTATCTGATTCGGTGAGGTACTCACCCATGTTCGTCTTCGGTGCCCGCCTCCAGAGGCAGGCTGGGCTGCGGCTAACAGGCTCACAGACGAAAGCTCTATACCACGCCTACAGGAGGTGTCGACAGGAGGTAATGGATCAGACGGAGCGGGATCTCGCCACGGCTCTCCAGGGTCTTTAGCATGTTAGACAGCACCATAAGTTGTAGAGTTCAGTGTACTCACGATGAATATGCTGCCTACAGAGCCGCTCTGCTGAGGGCCTTGTCGATCGCTCAGATCGCGTAGGAAGGGCAGGATGACTATGCTCACGAGAAGTTAGCGACGAGGCATTCATACGAGATTGAAAGACGAGGAGGAAACATGATTGCATGTGCAGATGAAAAGCGAATGCCAAGGGTAGTGTACGACAGCGGTCAGAGGTGACGGTAGAAGATGGGCGACGAAAACGGCGTGCCTGAACGGTCGACAAAGGTGTCGAATGAGGCCGGTTGATGGAGATGGCAGACGAAGGTGGCGGTGGCGGCGGTGGCGGTTGACACAGGTCGTAGAAGGTGGCGGAAGAATGTGTTGAATGGGGACGGCGGATGAGGTTCGACGAAGATGGTTGCCGAAGATGGCAGACGAGGGTGAAATTGGTGGTCGACAAGGATGGCGGAAAGTATCGGATGAGGATGGTGGTTGAGCGGTCGACAAAGATGGCGGAAGGTGGTAGTCGAAGATGGTCGACAAAGTTGGTGGTTCAAGGCATTGGACGGGGATGGCAGGCGGAGGTAGATGGTGGTCGACAAATACGGCGGGCGAGGGCGGAACGGCGGGCGAAATCCGGAAAGGAAGCGGCGCAAGGAAGGAAAATAATATGCAACAAACAGAAAAGAGAGACGCGTACTCACAGAGTTGAGGGATAAAGCAGTGTACCAAGACCTAAATCATCAGCAAGCGCATCGTCAACTGGCGTCGAAACTTACCAATACAAGAGAAATTCAAACAAATAACAGGCCACTCACACCCCAGGGTGGGGGGAGGGTTACAGAGAAACATGGTGTTCATTTTCCTATCCGAAGAGGAATATCATACACGACGATGTCTCGTACCAGACGAGAACGGAAAAGCCCTGGTCCTGACCGGAAGACGTTCCTTCGTCCACGAGAACTGCTCAAGCTCAAAGTTCTTCAACGCCCATGCTGAAAACGGCCCCGCGCACTGTGTCAGCAGATACCTCAGCTTCAACCGCCGCAAGTCATCGTCGCATTTGCCATAATCCGCGGGCAATAGCTCCCTCCTCTGCCGTGCCAGGCTTACGCAGTCGAACAAGAGGTGCTCCACCGTGTGCTCGCCCTCGCCACAGGGACACATGTTGGTATCAGCTCTCTGCAAGAAGATAATTAGCAATGTGGCCGGGGAGACGGGAATCTGGGGGCTCACTTACGTTAATGGAGAACAGATTCGCGTTGAGGCCATTGTGGCCAGTCCTCATAGGGAGGAGTATGGTGGACTGAGCTCTGGTCTTGCCCAGGTGAATGCTCATAATGTTGGTGCACCATTCTCCCATGTAAGTCACCGCCTCGTAACCGCATGTTCGAGGCGCTTTGAGAGCATGCCTTTCAGCGAACTCTGCCCAGAGGTAGGCGCTCCTGAGAACACCCTGTTCGCGAAGGTAACGTCCGACACCCACTTCTCGGCACCCCCAATTTCGATGCCCTCACATTTATACACATCAACTTCAACCAATATTTATATGTATTATGATGCCACGACGATGCAACTTTCGCTGTCACTAGGGTTTTCAGACTCGCTGGATTCATCTGTGCTACTTTCAAGTTCGCCCGCCTCGATTTGAGCCCTCCGAATGGCCTCAATATCGGCAAACTTCGAATTTGGGCTCATTTTGACCTTCTTCCGTTTCCTGACCCTACTGGCATCAACCTCTGCTTGTAGTGCCTCAATTTTTCGTTGGGCTACTGCCAGTTGGTATGCCTTCTCATCAAAGCCCTTTTGAACCTTCCGAAAAAGCAGGCGCTGCGTATGCTCATCGGTATCCAGCTTACTGAACAGGCTGAACTGATCCTGAAGCTCATCCCTCTTCTTAGGGGTTAACCAAGGGACTGCTGATATATCTGCCGCCTATTTTTCGCTTGCTTTACCATCAGAGAGCCCTTTGCAGACCTGACCAGCTGGTTTGGCAGGGGTTAACATGTTCTCAAGCAGCAGAGGGCTCATGAGGGGTCTAGCCATACTGACAGGCCACAAACCAGTCTATTTCCAGCCACTAATAATATTCTTGCTTATCAGGGCTGCCTTACGCGCCTTGCCATAGCATATAACGAAATTTCTCTTGCCCACAACTGTACCAGCATCCCATTCAGCCAGTAATCCAAGCTCCTTCTTGTATGCTGCCTTAAGGGGCCTAAAAACCAACTGATCAAGTGGCTGAAGGACGTGTGACGTATATACTAGTAAGAACAGCAAGTGTATCTTGTTCCTGGAGCATATATATATGAAAGAAGTAGTCTTATAGCTTCTATGACCATCTAAGATCAATAATCTGGCCTCTAAGGGGTCCCCTAGCTAGGTTAAAGGGATGAAGACCTCTGTTAACCACTTAACAGCTATAGAGTCTGAAGTCCACCCATTTTCTATAGCTTTAAACTTCCAGGATTCATATAGCGTCAGTTCAAGAGGGAACCACTGCTGCTCGACATTCTTACCCTTATATATAACAAGTGGAGGCAGTGCCTTGCTAGTTGCAGAGATACACTCGATCAGAGATGTCTAAGCATGCGATCCAGGCTGTTTCTTGCAGATAGAACAAGTTTCTGACAATCTAAGAACAAGCCCATTTGATCCTCTACCTTCTAGGATACCAGTCTCATCCATATTGTATCGATTGTAAGCCTTGATAGCCATGATCTCAGGTATGGCGAGGTGCTTGAACTATTGCCTGATTATATTAGTTGAAGCTCCATTAGTACGCTGGGAATCGATTGCTCTGCTTCTTTGGACCCTTACAGATGGGTTTCTCTTAATAAAAGACTGTACCCAGTTCTTTCCAAGAGGCTGGGAGTCTCCATGGATCTGTAGGATGCGTTCAGCAAAGTCCTTGAGTTGCTGATGGGTTGGAGGAAGGCCTAAGGCAGCCTAGATTCGAACCCATTCAGCCAGATGACTTTCCTGGGTTGGAGAAAGCCTTTGCAGATCAGAAAACGCTATATCTCGCGTCTACACCCCCTTCATTCGACATTATAGTGTTGATCGCAGCACACCATGCTCAAATGCAGCTTTTTTGATAGATTGACCGTTTGCGATCGCTTCAAGGGCATTAGTAATGTCATTTTCGGTATATGATGGCATTGAGACCTTATTATGCGTTATACAAAGTATGGTAAGAATTGAATAAAGATTGATGAAAATATTAAAGATTGAAGTTGAGGGGTATTCATGGCGGTGAGCGATTTTTGGGGTGCCGAGAAGTGGGGGGTGCCGAGAAGTGGGTGTCGGACGTTACTGATTGAACCATCCTGAGACGTTTCGCCCCAGACGGACGGAACGTTCCAACCCGTAGTGTTGCACGATTTCATCGCGAACGAACCCAGCCTGTTGATATGCCACCCAATATGGATGTACATCAAAGCACGCAAAGGACCGCATACGGTGAAAGGGACGGCGCGCAACCTTCAGCATCCTCTCCCCTTCCAGAGTGTTGGTGTTGCGAACTCGATGGGCCGTGGCGATTCGGTGGAGCGCGACTTCTATCGGCTCGATGTTGAGTTCCTTCTGCAGAACCATGACTGGCGTTTGGCTGTAGGCACCAGAGATTTCCACGAGACATTCGCGCTGAAGCCGATCCAAGCGAGCGATGAGCTTCTTCGTGATTCGGAATGGCTGGCCCTTGCCGTCGGCGAGAACGAACCAGCAAGCACAGGCGTAGGTGATGATGGGTCGCACGCTCGTGATGTACAGCCTCCGCATATCGATGAGGTTAGGACCCATGACGGAGCTAGAGATCCGCTTCAGAAATCCCAACTTCTTCTTCACTTTGGACTCGAGCTGCAAGGCCAAGCAGTTAGTTTCTGACAATCGAAACGATTGAGCAGCGATGGGTCACTTACATTGGCAATGTGGGCATCCCACTTCAACGCCGGATCCACCATGACGCCAAGAATTCGAAGGTACTTGGGGGCCTCGGGGTCGACCGAGTTGTTGATGACGTGTTTGACGGTCAAACCAGGAATGCGAGGGTACAAGTCGCATTTCTCGTTACGAGTGAAGTGCATCACCTTGTACTTCCCAGGATCGAACCGAATGCCATTGGGAGTTGCCCATTCCATGACTTGCTCGTGATACTTCTCGAGAATTTCGCGGTTCTCCTTCAATGTCCTGGATGTGACAAGGATATAAGAGTCGTCGACGTAGGAAAAGGCGAAGACGTTGAGATCGGGATGGAGGCGCTCAAACTTCTCTAGCATCGGGGCGGAGAAGAAGACGAAGAGGATGGGAGAGAGGGGGCTGCCTTGAGGAATGCCAGTGTTAACGAAGGACTCCTCTGAGACATAGCCGGGAAACCGGAGCATTGTCCTCCTGTCAGAAAGGAAGGACCAAATTAAATTGACAATCCAATCGGGCATGCCCTTACGTACCAGGATCCGAAGGAGTTCAGGACGATTGACGTGGTCGTATGCGCCTGATATGTCGAGACTGAGTAGTGTCGACCTCCACTTCTTCTTGTTCCTGGTCTTGACGCAAAAGCCTCTGTAGACCGGTGACAAAAGAGATTCAATGCACTTGGTGGTGCAGCGTCCCGGAAACCCAAATTGCATCCGGGGAATCAGCCTGCGCTTCACAGCAAGCTCCTGAATCCGCTTCGCAACAACCCTTTCCAGAAGCTTCCCAAGGCACGAAAGCAACGCCACAGGACGCCAACTCTTAGGAAGAGAAAAGTCCGTCCTGTCGAGCTTCCGTAGCACGACAGTTATCGACCGCTTGAATTCATCTGGGTGGTATTCCAGCCGGAGACACGCGTTCATGATACGCGTCAAGTGAATGTAAAAGACGCCTGGACACTTCTTGAAGACGTCGACAGCAACCTGGTCAGGGTCGCATGCCTTGCCGGTGGATGCGGCCTCCAGGGCCCACTTAAGGTCATTCACATCTGGCGAAGACGTTGTGGAGATCGGTGCTGTGGCCTGGAAGCGTGTTAGACACATCCAGTTCCTGCGTTGTCTGGTATTTCTGCCTGTGGAATTCGGGCCCGGGCATCTTCTAACAAAAGATTAGCGGCGTTGAGGCCGAATATAGCGCCTGAGACCCCCACGCACCCCGCACGCCGTAATCGGAGATGTTTCCACCTTCACATCTCCTCACTGTGGCCGCAGAATGTTTAGTACGGTGTTCGTCTGAAATCGACTTCCGATTGGTCCCACCCGGTGCCTGCGCCACAGCCGCCAATCAAAGCTCCATCAAGTTCAATCGCCCCCGTCGCCTCTGATCCAGCTCCAAGCCATTCAGCGCTGAAGCTGGCTGCCAAGGCAGACCAATTTTGTCTCATTTGGTAGGCCTGCGATTCACGGCCAAGATCTTCCGAGACAGCGACACAATCGCCTACTACAGTCTGCAACGGCGATTTATGAGTACCTTTCGACTCCTCATTTCCAAATCGCGTCGTAGCGGCACATAACAAGTAATTACTCTTCAAAGTTTCTCTCCCAACTGTGTTTGTGGACATTAGGCTGGCAAGGCGGAAGGCAACCTATGCCGAGCATGTTCCACTTCTCAAGCCCTCTGTTGATAAACACACAAGAATCAGAAACCGAACACAAAATAGGACTTTTCTAACTGCCATTGCAAAACGGCATTAAACCCTATTTGAAAAGCCACCAGCATCCTTCAAATCTCACCAGGGGCACGCCGAAGAAAATTCTACATCATGCGTTTCAAACCCTCTCAGGATTAAGAGTCTACACAGGCTAACTAATTCTACACATCTCAACTAATGAAAAGCAGCGGTGGAGCATGAAAATGCGTCCCAAACCAAAATTTAAACTTCTGATAACATGATTGAGCTGGTGAACCTCCCAGCGTACGACAAATCGTTTCTCAGATGGCGTCTTGGAACAGTGCCAACTTTAACATCCATAAAGAATACATCCACCATAGCATTTTCGTCGCGAGATGGCCATGTCATGCACCGCATCAGCGCCCATTCGCTTTCTCAATCCCACGAGTACGGAGCAGATCGATACTATCTTCAGCCGTCTCTTCGTCAGAATCACTACCGAACCCCAACCCTCTCGAAGCGGATCAAAGGGAGCGGAATCCATCGTCCAACTCCTCATGCCTCCGTCAAGGATACCAGTTCCCTGGGTCATGTCGTCTTTGATCCGCGAGCTCGGACATGAATATTCATCCTGTTCCATCTCGCCATCGACCTCGACTCAAACAGCATCACTCGCCCGTCGAAACTCATAGATGATTTGCAGTAGTCTATAAGATGGGGAAGCAATCGTAAGTGCAAATCCGGTTTAAACCAATGTGGCGTGCTGCCTAGCTTGATCTTTTCAGTGCATGTCTTCGACTTTCGCTTGCGGGACTTGGTATCAGGTGAAATGACAACCATTTAAGCGTTCTAAGAGTCTCTTTTTGCTGAGGCTGAATGCCGTCTCCTCCACCCTGTCCCTTGTCGTTAGCGTTCGTGCTTTCAGGACTTTCATGATTGAAGTAGCTATTTTGTTTGTGTTGGTTCTTCTGATTTCATTGATAGCATTCGACGAGATCGTCGTTGGGCCTTGATCGTAGCTATCAGCCAAGCCATTTGCGGCGAGACCGAAAGAAAATGACATATGTCATTAGGATCTGAATTAGCCCACAGTGTATGTTGGCGATTCAGCCAGTCAAAGGGCATTGCACCTGGAGTGCCGCGCATTACTTGCAGATGTTTAGCACTTCCAATATCAGCGACTGGCCGCATTCCCATAGGTACACTCAATCGCGTACACTTTCAGATGAGGAAGACGTCTATTCCTACGAGAAGTATCGCTAGACTTGGAATAAGTCCTCAGCGAACGACAGATATTGCTGTGGTAAAGAAGGGTGAAATATGCGGAGTCTCCACGTACATCGTTATGGCTCCGACGATTTTTGGTCTCGGTCCTGGTTCATTTAACCGCTACTCCATTCAACTTCCTGCAATGATTGAAGCTGCTCTGACGCGAAGTCAGGTTATCGTCGCCGCAGAAGGTCAAACGGCACAGAATCAAGTTCCTATCCAATAGCTTGCGCATCGTTTCGTGCTGTTGTTGCATAAGATATCGGCCAGTGGACCTGTACCATCAGATAGAGGAGGCATCTACTTTCGTCAGTCTGGACGACACACTCATCTATAATTTTTCTGAGCGGCTTGCGGAGGTGTGTTTTGATTTGGGATTCATCAAATTACGCGACGTGAGTCGTGTCTCTCTTCAAGAGGACGCGAATCAACAGGCCATGGGTGTGCTGGAGCGGGCCGAACTTTCGTTCACAGCAAAGTAAGCCGCAACAAGCTCATGTCATCACATTTAATCAACTTACAATCATTAGTGCACGTTGCAAGGTTGTCCTGGCAAGAAAGCTGGGTTGGAATCCCATAATGGCGGACTCTTGGTCGACAACCTTCGAGACTCAGCTTCATTCCCTACATCAGACCCCGCCAAAACCGCGAGAAATGCAAGAATACCTCAAAGATCAGGCGAATAAGAACCGAGCCAAACAATGGCATATTGGAGCGAAAGTTTGAACATGGTTGGAAGACACGTCGGCACTGTAAGCTAGACAGCAGCCAATCGCCGCTCAAGTTCTATTGTTGTAAGTGCAAAAGTCGAACGTATTGAAGTGGGTAGGGCGCCTACCTAGCTAGAAACCACGCGTACGTAAGCAGTGCGCGTACGTATTTAACGCCCACGCGCGTATGCAGATTAGCAGCGTTCTTCTTAGAAATCAACATCTTGCAGCGGTCCTTTTGCCGCGCCCTGCATTTTGTTTCTACACACAACCACCCCCCGTTTCAGTATGTATTTCCATACTTGTATGTCCATATGTATCGACCCTTTCCGTATCTCATACGTCTAACGACAGCATTTGAATTATGCATTTGCGCGAGACTTTGTAAGCGTCCTTTGCATTGATGCGTACATTTGATTGAGCCTGGAAATCGTTACAAGGGACCATGGAATCAATCTACATCAACCTGAGAGCGTTCGCCCGCAACTTCTTCTCGTAGACCTTTTGTCGGACAGCTGAACGTACCAAGAACGTCCCGAAATCATCAAGTAAAACCCTGTGAGATGGCTAATTTGTTCTTGCCCGTGCGCCAAGTTTTGAAGAATACTGCGCCGTGCCGTTTCAATGTTTCCTCGAGCAGAAGCTGAGTCTATCGGGACTGCGGCAGGTACAGGGAGCTAAAGTGGCCCGTGGCGGTAGATAATCCCTCCTTCGGGAAATCGAATCGAGCGAGAATGCGGCCCATGGCTATAGAGCCTTCGTCGTCCGCAATGATCGGCTGTCTCCAGCACACACTGTCCGCCGAGAACCCAATAGCTTTGGCCTTCTCCAAGATGTTAGTCCTCTGGAGCGCTATCAGTGCCCTTCCAAAGTACCCGGCTGCTCGGGGCGAGCTGTCCACGACGTCATTCTTCTCAATAACATGAACCTTTATACCGGCGTGAGCGAGATGTACGGCGATAGACTACCCCACTGGGCCTACCCCCACGGCAACCACACTCATGGTGGAGACATAATTCGCGCTTGGCTTGTACATGTCGTCCGCGGTTTGTGTCGATGAGTGGTGTAGGAAAGAAGAGCTGAGATAACCATAAAGAGTTTGAGATCAGTGCATCCCCCGATCAGCATTTCCTTACATTGCGTAGTAGAACTTATATAGACCGGAAGGCTCCGTGCGAAAGTTTGACCGATTCACAAGGCAAGGATGGAATTTTGTTCCATCTGTTCCCTGCAACAACACTGACTCGGCGGTGTCACTAAGATAGTGCCGCTCGACGTCCTGTCGGCTTCATGAGAAAATCCGACTAGTACTTTGCGGGCTTTTCTGCATGGTGAGAAATCGTCGACTCGGTCGAAGTTTGTGATAAGAACCAGTAGTCACACCGAAACCAGATGCGTCACTTGATACAATCGGATGATAGCCAGCGACAAATCCGCGATGGTCCGCTATGGTCGGGCCTAGGGGTCTTCCATTGTGGTCGACCCGGCCGCATGTGGGATGCTCGGCGGTTTATCACCGGCAATCTACCGAGCATCCTGTCTGACGGAGTAGCCTTCTGGTAATTTCCAAGCGGCAATTGCAATAACTCAAACGCGTTTCCATGATATACGCGAGCGGTGAAAAAGCTGGCAGCCTTCGATTTGCAACATGTCGGGCGACCGGGTTTGGCTCTCTAGTATCCCTTTCGAGCTCACGTAAACTGATTTGTCTGTGCCGCCTTTGACCTGGGGTAAGGCTAGGACGTTCCCAGCCTGTCTATTTTCAAGTTCTTAAGACCCGCAGTATGTCTCTGATCACCAGGCGGTCGCGCTCATAGATTCAGACGTCCACAAAAAGATGAGGCCTAAACTTGATAGTTCAGCCTCATGCCCTCCAGTACCTTTGCCAGCTATCTTCAGACCTTGTGCCTCTTCACTCTCAAGATTTGCCACTTTAAGCCGACTGTCTAGCGAGGCATCTAGGAAACTTCTGCCAAATATATCAACTGCTGCACGGACGGCCAAGCTGTTGTAAAAGTTGTTTCCTTCTCGCGCTAATCTCAGGATACATCAAAAGATTCAGGCCATTGTCATTCTATCCCTATGACATGGCCGCTAACAATTGCGCCGACGATCCATTCCTACGTATGAGTTTCTGCGATTCTTTGGGTATGCTTGAGGCTGTCGTGTTATGCAGTTACGATCTTTATAACTCATATGGGGTGTTGGAGAAGCAATTTCAGCGCGTCCCACAGCGCATCGCAAACTGCGCAAAGTATTCTTCTTCGCTGAGCTCCATATCACACGTCATCTGCCAGGTTTTAATTAATCCCACCGGCAGCCTCATCTCGCCGCCCATGCCGCACGCAGTCGCGTGGTATTTCCGCCGGTCTCAAGGCGGCATTTAGGCATTGGCCGGTATGGGAACAATAGCGTGGGGGTTACTTGCATCGTAACATGAGAGGACGAGGTA